GGAATGATAAATTGTTCCTCGTCCACAATACCACTTGGAGGAGTGCACATGCCACATAGAAAATGCTAAAGATCGAAGTGCAAACGAGTTCGAGAGCCATAGCTTTAATAGATTGGTAAAAAGGCATATACAAATACGCTTCAAAAGCAAGCGTGGAATGCAATCCAGCATATAATCTTCATGCTCGCCCATTGAGCTCCATGTAACATTCCTCACCTTTTAAAGAATTGCAGTATGTGGTGCACACACATTAAAACAATAAAATGTGATCGAACATTCCTGCCTTTTGGCACGAAATTTAGCATGTCTTGTGTGGTGGACATATCACTCTTCGAGGTTTGTCCGGTTGCGGAAGACCCATGTAGAAGAATTTGTAGATGTTTGATGACTCCATGGTCTCCGCATCTCTCTCAGAAGATCGAAGATGAGATATTCTACAATTGTATAGCATGAGGAAAAGACGGAGGAGAAAGAAAGGGACGACATGCCAGCTAGAGGAATATCTTTATGGAAGTCAAGCATGTTAGGTGATGGAAAGTCACCAGTTTTTGTTTGGTGGCGTATCAGGACGGGAGATAGAAACACAAACTTAGTAAAGACTTTTGTCTATGCAACGAGTCAAGTATCTAATTGTGCGCCTATTTTTCGTTCATGGTCCTTTCTAATATAAGAAAGATTACATATGCTATCGAGGAGCAAATAAAAATATTAACTCCCCGAGCTTGAGCATACATGGAAGTAGTGGTAGCTCAGAAAATGTCGAAAGTGATAGAGAAATATTTCAATGTGATGGAAAAGAATCGGAAGAAACTAGCATTATTGTGACCACGATAGATCATGGCTGTGTAGCATCATGATGAGCACTTCTAAGAGTCTGTATGACGGAGCGTGAACTTGGTCATGACACACCTTTACACATCTTATCCAAATTCGCCTTAAAATTTGGCGGAATTATGGGCGTTTATTCATTTTTACACTACATGCTGCGTAAGCAACGATGGAACGAACGACCAAAGTAACATGCATCCAGCATGATTTGATGTTTGACAATATAAGGTGAATACTTCATGATTCATAATTAAAGAACTATCTTCACATGGAACTTTACTTTTATATGCAAGCTATTATAAAATCTTATAAAATGATTTGATAAATAAAATTACATATTTAATGTAAGAAAATTGATTGAAATTGTTTTCATGTATAATATGTTTTGTTATTTAGTGAAACATGTTATTTTAAATCTAGATACCTCTTATTAACCATGATCAATCTAGCATAATCATATCATTAAATCATTAAATCATATCATCCACTCTAGGTGATTAAAGTGTTGACTTTCTATATGGACACTCATGAACTCTGAAACTTTATCACATTTATAAATTGCTAAATTTTATTGATGTTTGTGATCTGTTGGACGGATTGTTATAGTGTTTGCAAGAGTCAAGTTTACGATTCACAATGATTATTAAACTTGAAATCATAAGAAAAATAAATTGAAAAAAAAAGCTTAACCATAAAACTCATCAATTTGTACATTACAAAAATTAAATCTTTATAAAATAGTTGATGAAAATAATTCAAAAAGCCATGAATTGATAATCAAGTGAAAATTCTGATTATAAGAACTTATTAACATCATGAACAGATTATTTATATATATATAAGTTATAATAACTATATTGTATTTTATATTAGAAATAATATTTTTATGCGTATATATTCATATTTTTTTACTTATCACAATTTTTATTGTCACAATAAAAATAATCCGTTGTGAATTATCCATAATAAATATGAAATAAAAAATTTATTCCCAGTAATTGGCATCAATCTTAGATAATCAATTGAATAATTAAACAAATTAAAGCTTAGAAATTTTTAATTTTTTTCCCCCAAATAATATTCTATGCAAGTAATAGATAACAACATTGATAATTGGACATTAAAATGAAACAGCTTCTATGATCAAATTGACTATTTATTGTGTTGACAACAATTTTTAAAAATAATTTGTTGAATGAGTTTGAGACTGATACTCAAGTTCAAATGATTGAATCTACAGTATATAAGATTCAGATGATGAATATAATGATATTTAATTTAATAGATTCAAATAAGTACAAAGCATGTTATATAATTTATTCGTGAATGCTAATATTTTAAGAAAGTATTAAAATTCTCTCATGCGTTTGAATGAAGCTAAAAATTAAAGATGACAATAAGTCAAAATCAAGATAATGCTTTCATGGATCTGGTAAAATCTACATTTTAATTAATCAATTTTTTTCTGAGATTTTTAAAATTCAATAATATTTTAATAATGAGTCAAAGATTATCACATGTAAAATATTGCTGTCTAACAAAAAGATAAATGTGGACTTAGAGAGTGAGTAATTAAAATTAGTGTATATAAATCATAAATATTTTTGAATTTTTTACTATATTTCATTGGTGTCTTTGTATTTTTTTAAAAATATTTTTGCTAGCTTTATCATTGGTTGAAAAAAGAAATTTTATTTTGGCATTCATTTTTAATTATACATATAAAACATAGTTTACATTTTGTTGCAAACGATAAATGGTTATTTCTATAATTAAAATTTTTTAACGATATTTATGCTTTAATTGCAGATCTAATGAGCATAGAGTCATTATTTATAGAATCAATTTTTTTATGTACATCCATCATCATTTAGATGTATATGATGTTCAATATTGAAGAGAATTTGATAACTTATTTTTAATAGTATTACGACAAAATTTGTTCAGTGATGTTCAGTAATTTTTTTAGATGAAAAATTTCATGAATATATATTAATTAATAAAATATATAGAACACAATGAAAAGAAAATTTAACTTTCATAAATGTAATAAAATTAATCATTCTTATATATGATGTTAAAAAAATTGAATATGATTCCAAAAAAGTTGCTGATAAAATAGAATCTGTAAAATGATAAGTTTTGAAAGACTTCAAAGACTTCCCACTTTAAGTTCAAGAAATTATGAGAGAATGTGGAGAATATCATTATAATCCAAATTCATTGTTCATGCGTTTTGAACTTTGTTCGCAAATTTTGCTTGTTATTGTTATTATGTCAACTGAAGTAAAATGTGGAGATGATAATAAAGTAATAAGTTTTGATTATACAGATTATAAATAAGAGTTTTCAGTGTGTTTTTAATCATTTTTGCTGTGTTTTATAAGGATTTGATAATTTTCCGTTCTGATATGTGCTATTATCTTCAAGGAAAGAATCATGTACTTTGGTAAGTACAGGTATATGAAACTTTGGATAGCAATGGTTAGATGACAAACACTTTCGACATTTGTCTTTAGAAAGTGCATTTGTTTCTGCCTACGAACGTTTGTTTGTTTTACGACAGTAGCTCATAGAGCAGAAACGTGATACATGTCTCCTATCTGAACAAATAACTTTTTAAAAAATTGATGGAAATAGAAAAGTTCCACTTAAGATATAGTTAGTTTGTTAAGCTTGTTCTATTTTGGTACAATTTCAATCCAAGATAAAACCTATGGGGTCTTACCATCCCTTTGCTTACATTTATTGGCCCTCTTATAATAATAATATTATTCGAAGATAAATTAGAAACTTGTAATATTTGAGATGATTAATAACACAGAATACATATTTCAACGTAAGAATTTATTATATATATATATATTAAAAGAATCTGCTTCGGTGGACTTGCAAGCACTTAGATAAGTGAATCTAGTGCAACACTAACGAGATTCTCCGAGTCATCAAGATCACTAACTTCTTCAGAAACATCTATTAAAATCTGACTTTGTTGGCAACGTAATAAACCACTAGCTGTTAAAAGCCGAGGTCATGTATCCGGCTTCATTTTGGCAAAGGTTAGCGAGAGGTTTACACACCGGGATTCTCGTTGTCCACCGGTCCTTAAGACAAAGTGATCTTTTATCTGCTCACGGAGGGGTTTAATTCCATTTAGCTTCCCTTTTGATACCCTCAACCCGACGTACAATTCCTACTTCCACAAAAAGAGACAAAGTCCTGACAACTTGTCAATTGTTACCACGTTGTCATCCCATTTTAATCCAAGGCTGGTTCATCTACCATAACAATACGCCAGTGACAGTCTGCGTTCCACGAAGGTAGCAGGCACATTTGGCGCATCGACGCCAAATTTTGTTCTGCCGCTGAGAGTTACTCCGTGAGGGACGGCCCGAGAGCAAACGAATAGTCACAGCCATTTGAAGTATTTGCGGGTCTAATATTGAGGTGAGCGGCACGTGACTTCAGGGGCATATCTTCCAATCCTCGAGCACATTCTCCACTGTAACTGAGAGAGACAGAATTGCGACCAAATTTAGCGAAAGAGATTGACATGTAGGAGCGACCGCGAAGACGGTCCAGTCACCAGAACGTCCGTGGTCACGTGAATACCGGAGCGGTGCTATATTCATCCGAGGAGACCGTATCCCTGAAGGATACACGAGTATGCGCGACTGGACAAGATCGGTACAGAGTATCCTGCACAGCTCCGAGGCCTGGGACAGGGCCGGGTCCTGGATCCCCATGTGGACAATGTGGAGGGAGCATCGGCACTCCCATCCATACATGATTACCTGGTCACATTTATGATGTTAAAGATGCACAAGTAGAGTGTACTAGCACCTGAACGGGATTCCGCGTGTTTGCTTCGCCATATGTGACGCGAATTCAGTTCTGCGTGTTGAGCTCTGGCCATGATATTCACATGATGGGGCTTCTCGACATGCTGCTGCCCTGCTCAGGCTAGTCCTTTTCCGCCTGAACCATGACTCCCCACGTCGACTGCGTATCGGCTGGACCCCTGGCCAGGTAGATAATACTGTAGTTTCCGAGTCAACCACGTACAGTGTACTACAGGAGCCCTCAGATCCGTCGCTAAACACTACCATGTTCTTTGTCCTGGGACTGCAGCTCTTGTAAGCAGATACGGTCCTCTTCGGGGCACTGGAATCTCGGAAGGCAACGCCAAGGTCAGTTCCGGAGACGAGTCCAGTATTTTCGTCCCATGTCTAAAGGGGGGACGGAAATAATTAAATGTTTATATACTGATTTCCTTCAGGTTCTATTTTGTAGCACGAGTACTCTCGAGCGACAAAAATGTTTGCTTTGTCCGGAAGGGTTGAGTTGGACGCGGCTCAGAAGGGGAATTTTAAATGGTCATGGGGAGAAGTGTTCGAAAGAAACTTGGCCCGGAAGGAAGGGAGAGGCGATGTCTTCACATCCGGCATTGTTGAAAGGGTCTCCTGCCTCACGGACGCACGTTTTTCCCAGGGGGATATGTCCGCTACCGATGTCGCATTGAGAGAGAGACGACTTCAGGTCGACGCAAACTTTGCAACACGTGAGGCCGTCGGAGCGAGCGATGGTCGGCACATTTGGGTGCGTACGAAAGCCAGGACAGTACCGCCACTGCGAGCCGACTGTGGTCGTCGTCACAGTCACAGCTCCGAGGTGGTGTTTTGGCACAGGCGGCAGAATCAAATCGAATGGCGATATAGTTCAAACCCTAGAGAATACGGTTGCTACGAAACGCGCTGAGCGGAGTCAGCACATTGAGCATGTGCTCGAGTTGGTTACATGTACGTCCTCATGAAAATTTCTCGATAATTGTTCTGCCTATGGAACGGGACTACATCATCCACTAACGCACCATTTCGAACTTGCGTTGCAGAGTTGCTCGAAGATTTGCAGCGAAACCACGACTCTCCGCCCAATGGCGGTTGAGTCGTGGAAATCCGAACTGTAGCCACGAGGCTCACGGCCGAGCGAAACGAAAAATATGATATTTGCAGCGGAGGGTTGTCGTCGGCCCAGCCGATTCACGACGGTTTGCGAACCGAATCCGGTTTAGGTTTAGCGTATATGGAGGAGGAGGGTTGAGACACGGGAGGCACGGCGGACCGCCGTGTCAGATGATCTCATTCGTGAAGTTTCCGGGACGCATTGGGACCCGATGCCGCTTGCTATTTACGATGCCACGACCGAACGGCTCGGCGCATGACGAGCCACAGCCCTCGTCGGGAGTGGACTCTGGGTCGTGACGCGCTGCAACGCGACAGAGTCGTGACCGAGCAAATCATCGCGTTCCTCCTGTAAATAGGGAACCCGATGAAGGACGTTCGATTAAAATAATAAGAGAAAATGAAGGTCGAAACATCTCGGACGCCTCGTAGGAGCACTTCTAGGAGTCCGACGAGCGGCCGAGGACTCGGGGTTTAACAGATACGGGGGCTAATGATGGTTGCACTCGCGCACGACTGCGTGGACGATGCGGTAGTGGGCGAGTCGGAGCCTCGGAGCCTTCGGAGGTTGTTGGCAGCGTGAGCAACCGAACGGCTAGTCGCATGCAGAGCCGGGATGGGTAGAGGGAGTAACAATTAAGGAGGGTCATGATGGAATACTACAACAGCGCACGACGAACTGGAATTCACGGTGGGTGCGGCATTTATGGAAGATCGTGACCGAAGCAATAGGTCGACGAGCGTGTAGAACCCTAGGGTGCCAGGATGCATCGAGGAGTTGACTGGACGGACGAGGATTTCTATTTGCTAAATAGGTCTCGCTTAACCCCTGTCGAGGATCATGACCTAGAACCCTATGTCGGGTGCGACGGTTACAGGGGGGCCCCGACCGTTAACATTTATGAAAGTCTTCGGGCAATCACGAGGCCCGAGTGCTGTGCTATCTATCGTGTATAGAGTGGCGTATGGAGTAGAACCCAGAGGGAGGGTCGCGGTTGGTGAGAACAACGTAACTGTAGTTAAGATTTCTCCTGGATTTGAACCGTAGCCTTGTGGTCTATATTCTGATGAGGGGGCTGTCGGTGTTGGGCCTTCTGCATCTCGTTTACTTGTATTCGAAAATTTCTTACGAGGTGAAATAAAATGTCAGATGTCTCCACATCCACTGATATAAATTTATCTATTTCTTTCGAAATGTTTATTCTTGAGTAAAATTACCCCATTCTTAATACTGCATAGGCATACGACTTAGTTTTTTCCTTCTATTTTTCGGACATGAATTATGATGTTACTGGGTTAGTTATGACATCGTTGGTCTTCACGTCGATACGCAGTTATGATCGGTGTGTAGTCAGGGTGTGTCTGTTGGACGGTGGATAATATCTACGCTGCATGACATCCCGCCGTCCTTCTCAGGGCAATTTCCTTTCATGAGCATGTGTGGATGAATCGGTCATGACATGATTTCGAGCTCGGAGACCGTCTTTTTGGACATTGACTACGTAACTAGGCTAGCCGTAGGCCGCATAATGTTCTGGGTTCCTTTCGGAATTAACAACAAATGTAAGCACTAGAGCTAAAGAAGAAGTGTTTTTGTTCCCCCCCCCTTTTCCTTCCATCCGATTATTTCCGAGATGCGTCATGCGAGAGATGTCGTTGAGAGATTTCGATGCTTTTGCTCATTCCTTTTGTTCATGCCTCAGTTTGTCTTTTAGTCTCATTAGACAATCCGGATAAAGTGGGTACAAGTTGAGATTAAGGGCCCACGTACCAAACCACAGTACACCACCTGCCGACGTGGCGACTTCGAAGGATCACCGCGTACACTCCCAAACCAACCTAGTTGTACCATACACAGTCGGCGGCCGCATTCAGTCGCACCATTTGACTTCCAAATGACACGTGGTCCGCCCATGAACTTACGGCATTCGCTTCGTGACATATAACAGCGTACACCGTCCACGGCATCCGGAAACCAGGGCAAACAAAACTATCCAAAAAACGTTCCCCCCTAGCTCCGCGAGCGAGAGCGAGTGTGCGAAGGGGAAGATACGTCACGTTTGAATCTTTGACCGAATGTCTGCGTCCACCGAATTCACGTTTCATCACAGTAAAACCTTCACGCCGGGTCCTCCCCGGGTAACCACGGCTTTACCGTCCATGGCCTCCATCTCTGAATATACGAAATGAAATCTGCCCCGGAGCGAATGAGAAGAAAAAGATGGCCTTAAAGTCGGGTTCGGAGCATGAGCTAGAATATACCAAAGCCTTCGCTCTGGTGTATCTTTAGCAGTGGTGTGATGATTGATGTAAGATCGAGTGAATTGACGTCATTTGAGGAGGCTATTTTGCAAGCTTTTCTCCGAAAAGAGCAAGTTAGAGCAGGAGACCGGTCACCAATGGAATCTGGAAGGCATTGAAAATGAGCAATAAATGATGGAGAATTTCCATCGCCTCCCGAGAGCATCCACATGAGTGCGCGTTCACATAATTTCGCGCTGCTCAGGCGAGCCCTGAAAGACGGGGGAATTCATTTCCCGAAGGAATTTGAGCTGTATTTCTGGACTTCTCAGTTGGAGTATTGAATTATTTGCATATAATTATAGAGCATTGATGGTCGAAAGCCCGCAACGCGACATGGGGCGAAAAGCGGACCGAGTGCGGGTCGTATATCCGGAGTAAATACGATATGGTATTCGCGTAGCGTACCCCAGCATGTTGGAGTGTAGTAGACACAGGGGGCAGAGAAAAGCGTAGCCAAGTGACCGGGTCGTCCGTTCGTGGGGCACAAGCGCGCGGGTTGCGTGGTGAGCGAAGACGGACGGACGGGGCATGATAGGATGAGCTGGTACGCCTGGCGATCAGAGGTGGCGCGTTTTCCGGTCTTGAGCCGAGGGCCACACAGGTAACTGCGGTCCGGTCAGGCGGGAGGCTCGGAGGCGGGGGTCAGGTCAGGTCCGAACCACCCAACCACGCATTCATGTCGGGCATGTGGGCTGACCGCGGTCGAAGATAGACAACCGCAGGTGGCCTGATGTAAAGCGACAAAGGCTGGGGCCCCATCCGTAGCTGGCCCTAGTGGTGGTGGGCTGCGGAATCGGTTCTTACCACGACGCAAGCCGGAAACCCGGCGGTTTAACTTTTACCCGGGGCGTGCCCGCCTTGGCGCGCCGTGCGCGGGGGCTTCCCTTCTAGAACAAGCTAGAGAAGAAAAGCAGGAGCTCGGGGCCGAGAGGAGCCATTTCTCTCTCTCGTTGATTCAAAAGCAGCGACGAGGCGCAGAGCTCGTCCAAGAGCCTCAAACGACGAGGAGGTCTGATAGAGGAGTCACATCCGTCGGAGTCGAACGCATCATACAAATTGGCAGCGAGTCGATCCAAATCGATCGGTCGGGCGAGAACGACAGATATTGACCGAGCACGTCGGAATTGGTGGGCACAAGCGAGACGAGGAGGCCTTGAAAGAACGACGACCAGGGAAGGGGAAATCACCACGAGCTGCTCCGACACTCGTGATTGACGACGAGGGTGCAGCGACGTTCGCTGATTCATTGCGGAGGGAGGGAGTGAGATTTGTGTGTTTGTGTGTGGGGTGAGCTGAGAAGCAGAAGAAATGACATCCGCCGTGGCTGCCAACCAGAGTGGCGACGCTCTCTACCGAGGAGTGTCCGAAGGGACCGGCCTGGCGGCCGCCAATTTGGCCCGGACATCGACGGCCGATGAATCGGCCGAGCAAATGCAGTCCTGCGAGTGCTGCGGTTTGAAGGAGGAGTGCACCAGAGCATACATAGGTCATGTGCGCACTTTATTTTGTGGAAGATATGTGTGCGGCCTCTGCGCCGAGGCTGTGAAGGAAGAGCGAGGCCGCTTGCAATCGGCCTCGATGGAAGACGCGCTCCGCGCTCACATGGTCGTGTGCGCGCAGTTCAATCACGCAGCTCGCGCAGACCCGCTGGTTCAGCTGGCTGCTGTAGCAGAGCTCATGCGCCAGATTCTTCGCAAGAGTGGCAGCAACCCCGGTTCTCCCAGCGGCTCCCCGAAGCGCCAATGGCGCTCCAATGTTGCCCCACTGCGCTCTCAAAGTTGCATAGTCCTAAAGGCACCGTCCGCCGAATTCAGTTAATCCGTGCGCATCTGTTTGCGGACGATGCGAAGCGAGACAGGCGAGTCTCAGCCTGAGGAGCCTGAGGGTGGTGTAGTGTGGCAGGTGCGAAGAAGGTGAAGAGCAGCGATGGTGGTGGATGTGGGGACATTTCCGAATACCCAATTAAGTGTTTAGAATAGTAGAAAGGTGGATCTGGACAGCACGGTGAAGTGGTCTTTTCAATTAGTGACGTCGATGCCCGTGTGTACATACGGAGTGGCTGCGTCGCGGTGTTGTTTGGGTGTGGTGTTTGTAGTAGCGGAGCCGCCTGGTGGCCGCCGATGGAGCACCTGCGACATGTGGCTCTAAGTAGATTTGTCTTGAGATACAGCCCGTGCCATGAGGAGGGAAACTCAATTATCAAACCGCTACTTTGTCAGAGAATCTGCACGAGAGTAATAGCGCGTTGAAAAAATTTCTTTACAGCATTTTCTGGAGTAATCCACGAAGCATATTTGGTGTATCTTATGGTTTGGTAGTTGTCGATTCGTGGATCTGGCAACCTGTAGCTGAAGTGGGGCTGGTCGGCAGCTCGTTGCACCTCGTGGTGCCTGTCGAGCATCGCAGCGTGTTCACCCCTCGGAGAATTCAACCCGTTGCGGATGTTCAAGAGCTGCCGCAGTCGGGCGTATGGGTGAAGTGGACGGGAACGTGAGTCTCCTCCCAAGGAGATCCACCGTATCTCATCTCCAGCAGCGTTTTACTAGGTAGAGTCATTAGGACGGGAAGGCTTCCATGGTCTAATTGACCTGAAGGGAGTAACGGCGGATTGAGTCTATCGGACGAAGTGGAAGCTGCCTGCTTACAGGGCCTGAACGGGCCATTATTTGTTAGGATATTGCAGTGCAGTGAGCTGCGAGGAACTCCGCTGAAGTAGCTTAGTTGAAGTTCATTATGACGAGGGAACCAAAACAGCAAGATCTTTCTGTGCTGGTGGAGAAATCTGTCGAAGTGTAAGCGTCGACTGTTGGTCAATCAGCAATTGGAAACCTGGAGCAGCGGTGTTGCAAGCCTGTACATGGGACTGTGGTCTGCACCGCCCTGTGCCTGGTTGTCGTATCGTAGCGGGGCTTATGCCTTGCATCTCTGGACCTCGAGAAGAGGACGAAGAAAGATGTGCAGCAGGGGGTCAATCCTTTCCGAGCCGTATGGCCAGGGGTCGGTTTGATCATCTCTCTGTATGGAACAGTTTCAAAACTATTGCCACCTTTCATTCAGGTGACACGCTTACTCGAATAACAAACGATGGGGGATTTGCATGCTTTTCTCCTCCCACGTGGGCTTCCATTGCCGGGTCTGTGGCCCCGGGATCTATCGCCATTTTGGAAGACAGGATCTTGAAATGGAACGAAATTTTGCTCTGGCACTCTATTGGCGTTGCGAGTGGTGTTTTGCTCGGAGCTATTCGGAGTTTTGCTCAGTTTCATGCGTCAAAGGGCGGTAAAGAGTTCAAGAGTGCTGTGGAAATCGGCGGCACTCTGCAGGAGCTGTCGGACTCACAACTACTAGTGGCGGGCAGCCGATCCTCTCAAGACTATGATATTGAGAAGGACATGAAGCTGTCTCTCTCTCCACTATCTCTTGTAATATACCCGATGTCTAGTTTGTATGTATAAATTTTTTTTAGCTTAGCTGAACCCGTAGGTCAGAAATATTATAATAAAATCAAAGACTAGTTCTTACATTATCTGCGTTGTACGCGTGCACGTGTCCCTCCTTGAACGGGGAATACTACTTGGTTGATACATGAATGGTGCAAACGCTTTTGTAATCGAAGCGCACTCAACCGAGAGGTAAGAGTGGAGTAATCTCTCGTGCGGATTTAGTTGCGTGGTGAGTGCTCGATGGTGGCACAGCTGCTCCAAGGCCTCTCGTTAGTCTGAACTCTCCGAATGCGAAGATTGGATGTCGATCGATGCCTGACTTTTTCACAATTTCACAATCCCCACTAATTCCACCTTTCGCCTCAAGAGAGGGGTTTCGGGATATAACGTAACCCTTCGTTAGTGGACGCTTGACTCTCAAATGGAGATGTGGGACAGGCAATCATGCGAAGTCGACGTTGTCGGGTTATGTTTCATCAATCATGCGCCAAGATTCTAAGCAGGGCCACCCTAAGACCCAAAAGATATCGCTTTCCATGTGGATTCCTGCTCAAGTTACACACACGCAGCCGCGACCACTGGCTCTAAGCCGCATCGCCACTGCTGTGTGCTTTTCGCTGATCTTAGCTTTCGTCCCCAGGGCCCGCCGGGTCTATCGTGTTCAGCTGATTCTCCCAGCCCCGGGACCTGTTCCATCACACCATCGCGCCAGACGGCGAAACCCTCCTGGCATCGCCAACTCGAAGAATTCACGTTTGACCGAAGCGTACAGTCGGACCTTCCCGCGTTTGTGAGAGTGTTGAGGAGCCTTGATTGTGAGCACTGAGCTACGCGGAGTAGCCAACTTGTCCGCTCGGTGAGCTGGGAAGAAGGAATTATCGCGCTGGACTCGACGACTTTCACGAGCAGCCCGTGTGCTTCCAGGTTTTGCTTGCGCATTTTCAACCGAGGCACGACGGGCAGTTTCGGCGTTAGCTAGTGCCTCTCGTCACCGGCCCGCAGGCTTTTGACTCGCCGGCTGCGGCCACCAATTGGGGTCTGCCGGTGACAGCCGTTCATACGACTTGCTATCGAGTCCGAAGAACATCCCTCTGGTCCAGCTAGTGGGACGTGGATAGATGCCTCTCCCTCTCTCTCGCGCCTACGTTAGTCAAACGGAATCCACACCCGCACGCCAAACCGCCGGCCCGCCGCAGACAACGAGCGCGTCGCTAATTAATTGCCCGGTTCGGAAGCGGGATTACTAACTCGATTTCTTGCTAAGGGACGAAGAGGGAGGAATCTGCAGGAGCAGCGGCACGCAATGGCGTCTGGCTGGCCGGCTGGTTCGGAGGCCTGTTAAGGAGCAGGCGTTGCGTGGTGTGCCCAACTAATGATTGAGGGGGGGGGAGGGGGGAAGGGGGAAGCGTTACTGTAATGGAACACACAAGCCACGAAAGGGACGGGAGCGGAACATCGCCCACCCGGAGTATTGCGAACGCTGCCGGCCGCGGTCGTCCGCTCCACGTGAGAGATTCGGGCGACGACAGCAGATAACGAGCTGATGTCGTCGCCCCATTCATTAGCACGTCGACGAAAGGCTCCAGCCACAGCCCCTCAGCGCCTCGGCCAGTCGTAGGTCCGGTCTACCATAACGGGGCAGCGGCGAGAGTGCCAGTCTGTATTCTGACTGACTCACAGATCCTCTATCTGCATACTACAGGATCAGACGCAAGTCTCTAGCGCAGCAACATCAACAGCAGCTGCTGCTGCTGCTGCTGCTGGTTGGTGTGAGGCCTAGTTCATGCAGATGAAGTGGTCCACCTCGATCCGTAAAGCTTGCTAGTTCCCTTTTTACGCAAAGAAGTGGCTAAGGATCAATCTGTGCTCATACTCATCTGTGCGAGCGAGCAAGCAAGCAAGCAAGAGGGGAGGGTCGAAGGAGCTACATCTCAGCCTCGTTTAGCTTAGTCCCTTTGCGGGGATCGGATCATCTCTTCCGACATATGCCAACATGTCATTTTCTCAGTACCACGAGACCGGGTCGAATGGGGTACGCCCAGGCCCTCGTTTCGCTCGGCTACTTGGTGCTGTTCATTTGTCCATTATGCCGAAAAGATATTGTCAAATTTCCTCTCCCCCCATGGCCGGATTCTCTCGGTAGAGTTCGAGCATCGAATATTATTCGTGGGAATCAGATCTGCCAGATGCGATCGGAACGTCGCTGTGGATACAGCGATCTCAGCTTAGTTCGTTCGTTCATTAGCTCAGTTCATATTCCTCAAAGCATAATTCCTGCCGGTTTTGGGTCCAGAGAAATCCTGTGCTACGGGCACTCTGGTACGAAGGAAGCTTCCTCGCAGCAAGTGGCAGGGACTCTTCAGCGTCCTGCGGCGTGTAATTGGAACTAGGCGCAGCAGTACGGGTCCCCCTCCTTGCCCCATCCCAAATCTCCTCCATCTATGATACCTCCCACGCAATCTATGAACGTCCTGGCAAAAGGCACGGCATGCAATGCAGGCCTGCACCGCATCGGTCTGGACCTGAGCAGCGTGAGAAGTGGACTCGAGAGGAGTGATTGTGGGAGTGACTCGACTGCGTGAGTGCACGGATCCTCGTGTTTCTCGATATCGATGACTTGTGTTCATCAACTTGACTCAATCTACTGGCCATATGACTCGAAAATGATTGCTCGAAAGTAATGCTCCCGGACTGCTGCTGTAAATAAAGGGTAGCGACGGGAAGGAAAACCTCTTGAAAACTCCAGGCTCCATCGAGTGCTAGAACTGAAATAGAACTGTAGTAGCCACCACGCGTACATTACACGACACTAAACTAGTTTAATGGCGTTGCTCGCCATGCATTCGGGATCCCGAATGCGAATCTTCATCCGATCAAAGGTGTTCTGCATCTGGACTGATGTCATCTCATTTCATCAGAGCTGCTAGACCAGCTAGAGCAATAGTTTAGTGGAGAAATCGGAAAGTACATGTTTGTTTTCCTGTCCTCGGGCGAGATCTCTGATCTTTCTCGTGTTCGATCCATTTGGCGGCCTGGCCTAGCGCGCAGAGACGAGTAGAAGCATCACGAGCTGGTGGTACGGGTCCACGGTCATGAATCCAGGAGCGGCAGGAGAAGAAATCATGGAAACTGCAGCACAAGTACGGGATTAAAGGTGACAGAGTTCCACCACGGTGAGCAGTTTCTCTTGAGGACGGAACGGAGGAATATTTCCCAGTGAACCAACTTCAGTTTCGGGGCTCAGAGTTTCAGACTCCCAGAACGCGGGCTCCGCTCGTCCGTCCATTCGTGCATCTACCCCTCGACCGGAATCAGGAAAGTCTGACATCCTCCTGATGACATAAGTGTGGATGTCTCGCAGAGCAAGTGCGCCCTCCGCGGCCAGACATGTCTGACCGACACGATCGAAAGCGCTCGGCCGGCTGACGCTCGCGCCAGAGTGCGGCACCAACATGTAGCCAGATCGAAAAGATGCACGACAAAGCTCATCGCCCACCGTCGGCGCAAGAGCGAGGCAACACGACTCCGGATCACCAAGCTCCGCCGCTGGCCGCTAGCGCTAGCGCTAGCGCTAGACTTATCCTGCAGCACCACTTTCCTCGACGTCTTCACCACAAATATCGACCCCTGCTCTCTCTCCCCCAAAAGCAACAGCAGCAGCAGCGGCGGCATCTTCCAGAATCCGGTCCTTACTCCCCCGCCCCGCCCCCCCGCGCCGCGCTCGAGACAAAACTTTCCGACTTTCCGGTGCTCCCTCCGCCTACTCCTGCTGCTGCAAACGCACCCCTCTCCCCCCCCTGCCCGGCCCGGGCCGGCCCGCCCGCTGTGCCTGTCAGTCAGTCAACAGATTCATTCAAACAGCGATGCATTCCCCTGGACCCGATTATTCAAACGAACATCGTCGAAGACTTTGAACGAGTTCATTCACTTGGAGCCTACTGCCCCATGGACCGGAGGCGTAGGCGTAGCCGCGAGCGGGACGACGGCCAGTCTGGCTCCACAGTGCGATCCTGACATGTAGGGGCCTCGAATCCATCCAGACGACGCCTCCTCCTCCCCCTCCCGCCCCCCCCTGCTCCGAGGCCGGGCGGGCGCAGGCGCGGGCGGGGGCGGGGGGTGGAGGCCTGGACATGTGTGTTGGAAGTCCGATTCGCATGCCATGCCATGTCACCCGCTTCCGCGCTCCGTTCGTTCGTTCCCCTCCTTTCGTTTCCTACGCTTCCTACGCTTCCTTGGAAATTGGAGACGGGGCGTGGGAAATGGCGGATCGGGAATAGGGCTGATGTCGAGTCGACACGGCGAGAACGTGGTGGTAGGGCCGTGGGAGCGATGTGCGCAGCTCGAGCGCGCTGGGCTGGGCTGGGCTGGGCTGGGTGGGGTGGCGTGGGACAAAGTGGAATAGTTGGAAGTGTATATTCTCGCGGGGCTCGTTGGCGTGCCTGGGGCATGGCTGGTTCTGGAGTAATCTGCTGGGCTGGAGTAATCTGCCAGAGCGATCGATCGAGGATGTTGTGGCGGTGGGATGATGCATCGACCCGGTTGTCGCTCGGGTGCCAAGAGTGTAGCTCGTGCGCTTCGCGGTGCTTCGCTCGCATCGTCGCATAAAGCATGTGGCGGGCTGCACGAGATGGCAACGATTTGCGCTCCGATCTAGACCGAAGAGAGACCGAGAGGGCACGAGAGTGATGGGAGGCGGTGAGCACTATTGATTCCTCGACCGACCGACCGATCGATCGATCAATCAAGAAATCCATCGATCCGCCGATCGGTTCCCTCCCGCCTCCTCCATCTTGTCCGCTTTCGTCTCTGGGTTCTCCTTTTCGTGCTAACGGACGAATCCCTGTGTCTGAGTTTCTGCCACTTTCAGACGTAGCTGGTGCTACGACTGCTGCTGCTGCAGCTGCAGCTTCTGAGGCGGCGACGACGACCACCGCTAACAGCCCTTCCACTAGTGCCGCCGCTGCGCTGCTGCAGGAAGCCACATGACGAGCACCATGGAATGTCGCGAAACTAGGGCTTTGCCAGAGTTCGCCATAGACTATGGGCACGAAGCGCTGTCGCACAATGATGATGAGCGCGAAATCTCGCTGACCTTCGACGGCAGAGGCGGAACCCGGTGGAGGACACACGTGAAGTTCGAGTCGGGCACGTTCAGCGCGAGGATCCTGACCCCCGAGGGCGACACGAGCGGGCTCAACACGAGCTTCTATCTGTCGTCCCAGGAGGGCGACAACAGTCAGGACGAGATCGATTTCGATTTCCTCGGCAAGGATAAGACGAGCGTGCACACGAATTATTATAGTAATGGGAATGGGAATCACGAGATGATTTGCAAGCTGAATTTCGACACTTCCAAGGCCTTTCACGAGTACACCATCCGGTGGCTGCCTTCTCGAATCGAGTGGCTCGTCGACGGCAAAACCATCCGCTTTGAGGAGAAGCGCGAGGGCGATTACTTTCCTCAAATGCCCATGTACCTCTACGCATCCCTCTGGAACGCCGGTAGCATCGACAACGGACGCTGGGCTGGTCCTTACTCGGGGTCCCATGCTCCCTACGTGTGCAAGTATCGAGATGTTCGCATTCCTGTACATTCGCATTCCAAGAAACCCAGTCAATAATAAACGTCCAGCCTCTCTGAAGCTCTTCGCACTTTTTCCATCGAGCCTGCGATCGATCGATCGCGTCCGTCTCTAGCCTTTACCTCTCTCACGTGTAGTCTAAGTGTCTACGAGCGTCCGTAATGGTATGACTCAAATCCTCCATGCTCAATGGAAGCTCTTGATTATTCTTCTCTTCTGGTCCTGCCCATGGAGTGCCTGTGAATGTACCGAAGTCAATGTAGGGGTGCCAGCGCGATGAGTTCATGCTACTGACCGCTTGAAGAACTGTCTTGCGATTAGTCTCGACTTCACTGGCTTAGGTTATAATGAAAGGATTTAACGAATTGGATTCCATTACGAATGAAATATGGAGGTGAATCCTGTTAAGCTGCGTGTCGAAGAAGGTTTATATTCCTCTCGGATCTAGCAATTCGTCACAAAGACTGCGCTTCATCTCCTGCTATCAAACGACCAGGTCTGAACATAGCACACCAATCACGAGTGGTATGCCTTAGAAGCAAATCGGCGGAGCTTTTGAAGTCGGGAAGTTTTTTCCTCGTAGGGATTCTTGCCAGGGCACAACTGTGGAATTTCGCAGCAGCGAGGAGAGAAAAGAAGCACTCGAGACTGGCACTCTCAATTCATGAATACCAGTTTGGATACTCTTCTTCCGCATGTCAGAAGGGTTCGACATTGGCGATTGTTTCATGCTCTGGTTCGATTTGTGCCCGTGACCTTCACAGCAGACTGTCTGTTCTTTTGTGTGGAGAGCGGAAAACCTGTAGGAAACAAAGGAATGGAGAACGGGACCTCGCCCTTGGTGGGTGTCAGCAGGCTACATTCCAACAGTATGGGCCTATCTTATATACATTTCTCGCATACTTTACGATCACCTAGGAGCAATGTGTCGCGCTTGATGGACATTATGATCCTATTGTCGCTTTTTATAACCAAGTGGCTTCTATCCCTACAAGCCAATAATGGAAATAGCCAAAGCAATGTAGGAAAAAAGGGACATGGCATCAAAGGGGTAGTACGGGGCAAGCCCCTATAGTATCAAAGTTGGAAATGTGACACATTTCATCTATTGTTTCCCCAATGTTCAATCTAGAAAGGTACATCTATATCCATGATTGAATACTATAATGTTTCTTTAATGCATTATATAGAGGAAACTTGAAATATTTTATACAATATGTATAAAAAGTGTATCCCGTTTGTCACAGTAGGATAGGCTACTGATTATTATATATTGAAGTTGTAGTCCAGGGCTTTTTCTAGGTCAAAGAGCGCATCTCTTTGTTTATTCATATGCTTAAAAAGTTTTGTTGTTACAATTCCAGTTGCCATCTATACAAGATCATGGGTAATCATGTCACTCCAAGAAAATATCATGTGCAACATATAACCACAATATATCGCTCAAAACTTGTCTTGTTAAACCAAATATAAGTTTGATATGACAAGGAGACATTTCACAAATCATTCCACATGAGATATCCATGCAGTACAATGACATTTCAAGGATGAGTAACCTTCTCTTAGTGCTGTATACGTTGTTAGAAGTTGAAAATGAGCAGAAATGCTAAAAAAGAGATCATGTGCAACATTTTACACCTTGATTCTTACACTAATACCATGAACTCTGGTATTCAACTAACAGTTTGAGATAAGTATAGTTTTTTCTACATGGCTTACAATATATGTAAAGTGAATTACATATTCTGAAACTATTAAAAACCAAATTACACGAGAAAAAATTATCGTTTCCTTGCAAATATAAAATGATCCAATCATCTTATCATTTATGTGCATACAATTGCAATCTTGCAAAGGAAGAGACGATGATACATCATACATGTTGCTCTAGGCAATTATTGAATATTATACAGCTATAAATGATCCCCTGAGAACAAATAGAGTCATATTTAGAAAATAACAAAATAAGGTAACAATGTGATAACTATAAAAATCGCAATTAATACATATCAAACTCAGATGAAAATTATTAAAATTTAAATATTTAAAGCTCAAAACTGGATTTTCTCTTCAAATATGTTCAAGTAGATTTCAGTTTTAGATCTTTGCACAAAACGATTTTTGGTGAATTTTGAAATATCTTATTCATGTGTTGGAAAAAAGGTCTCGGAAACTAAAAAATAAGAACTAATATTTGATATTTTTTTTATACAAATTCCATAATATCTATCAACTATATTTAGAATGAAATTTTTTTATGTTTATTTCTGAGTCAATATTACATCATAACGGGTAGCAAACTACTCACGTTTTTGACAACTAATAATTCTTCTTGACCTGATCCCTAATTTTGAACATGTATATTAGTTATACAAAACATACAAGATGTGAAACTTAATTTTTTGTAATCATATGTGATAATTTATTAACACTTACTTTTAAATACATAGAACTTTATATGATTGGTGTAAACTGTTGATAAAAACTTAATAGTTATGATAAGTTGTATCATTAATTTTTTTAGCTTTGTATTGTATGGTGAAAATTGTGAGAAGACTAGATTGATATATTTCGATGCTAGAAATCTTAACTTGCAAATTTTAATGATTTGTGCTACAAACTTTCACTTTTTCATTGCTACTAAATACAGATCATAAGAACTTCTTGTTAAAAGGTTTTGTCAAAAATCAACATTCTTGAGTTATAATTTTAAAATTTATGTGTTCTTCGTTTCTTACAAAAATAATTTGAACCTGTTATTCTTATTATTAATAAATATAAATAATTCTAAGCTTTTGAAAACAAAATGAATTATTTAAGTTTGTTTAAATATTTAAATATCAATGAAGATATGTGGATCACTCTAAATATCACATTATATCATATTTTTTGATATTTATATAAATGATATCATATAAAAATATTATAAATAGTATGTGATCATTCAAATATTATTATTTTAATTAAGTCTAATCATATTTTTTCAATTTGAGAAAAAATGCGGAAGTGTTGCAAGATAGTTTAAAGAAACTCTATTCGAATGAGTCGTCAAGTAATTGTAAGGATTAGAAGTTGGAAGATGAAACTGAGATCATCAACTGTATTGAACATTAGATTTATATTTTCACAAAGGTTTTGAAGATCAAATGAAACATTCTTAAACTTTGCAGCTTGGAATTTTCTCTCCATTGGTATTTTGATACGACTGTAACAGTTTCAATTATGTCATAAAACACAAAACATGTCTACGTAACGTGTTAAAGTGATTGCCATAAAGTTGTGAGTTTATATTTGTTAAAAAAAAATATTCTTCACAGTCAAAAAAGATTTCAAGTGAAAACCTGAATTTGTATTAAAAAAAATCTAAGTGAAATAAATGAATTCTTTCTATCGATTGAAGTTTAGATATGTCGTTGTGATACGACAATTAATTAAGTAAGTAGTATTTCAAGAGATTTGGTTGTAAAGTACACAAATATAGTAGTTGGGGGATAAGGGAGTTGTAAATTAGTTTCATGTATAGTTGGATATCAGACGACGGTGCAATTGTGAAACATCACGATCTTCTTACTCACAAGGGTAAGGAGGCCAACTTTCAATGATTCATGGAGGCGTTAAAGGACAGGTTTAACTGACTCATGCTATTAAAGGTAAGCACATGTAAGGTGAGGTGCTCACAAGTGTTTTCAATTTGCAGTGAAATTCAACATCTCTCTTCATCTTTCCCTCCTGACTTCAGGCCTTGCTATGTGATAATCTGGCTAATTTGCTTCAGATAGAAAGGAAGTTGAGCTCGAGTTGTTTCAGGAAAATTTGCCATAGCTCAACAATTCCTTCACTGAGTGAAGCATTTTCAGCAAGGACTCGTTCCTCATAAGCTTTCCATTTCTGGGTTGTGTGCAGTTTCTTTCAGCTAGACAGGGCTCTTACTCGATGATTTTGAGGATTTCGCCCAAGATGATGGTGCTACTCGGAAATGTCACCCGGTCGTGTTCGTGTTGGTTAGCCTGCATGTGCACAAGATTAACCGATCAAAAGGTTTTGGTGTCTCGAGCGACCTTGAATATATCAAAGAGGAGTTACTGTTACATGGCCCTTACTCGATGCTCGTGTTTCTACCGTGGGCTTCTACGTTTGGGAAAGAAAGAGTCTACCATGTTCAATGTGGACTGTAAGTCGTTCCACATCAGGGTCTGTCCTATGAGGATATCATTGAACTCTTCCACTCACATCCAATACCACATAGTACCACATTGGATTGAGTGAACTCAATCCAATGTGGTACTACACATCGTGCATGGATGCTCCAAGTGCTTGCTCTTGACTCGCTAGCATTGGGATGTGTAGATAGATGTTCATAATACCAAAATTCTTCCATCAGGACCATTCAAGTGCGTGCATTTCCCAGTTGATCTGCTAGTATTCCGTAGCCTGTCTGTGAAGTGCTTATTAAAATTGGGATGAACATCTTCCTTCTCCCGTAGGCGTTGAAGGAAGGGTTCATGGAAGCCACTCGTCCATCCGTAGCTGAGACTTCAAAGAATTTGGCATAGGCTATGATTGGGGAGAATTCGAAGCTTAGTATCTTACAATTTGTGTTCTTGCACTAGTAGCATGCTAGAGTGTCTACTCCACCTATCCAGAAATACTCTCTGCATCCAAGTCATAGTTCCCTCACGTTCAACTTAACGATGGAGATATCCATGGTAGCATGAGTTAACTTTCCTTGTCTAATCTGCCCTAAGACCTCTGGTCGAATAGGATATATTTATGTTCTACTGTAATCGAACCAAACTGCTAAAGTACTTCTCTATAAGGAGCTATTGACTTACTTTGCGCTTTCCCTAAAGATCATGCGTTTGTTAACTTGTTCCCTCTTTTCGCTCCATTTGGTGTCAGTTTGAGGTCCGTCGCTTTGCGTTTGCCAATGGCTTTCCACTATCATCAATTAGTGAGGATTCTCTCTGCTTGCGGCATTACTGCTTTGGCATGAGCTCTGGTGGCAGGTTTGCCCTGACCAACCAACGTTTGCATCCTTCTCGAGTTTCAGCACCCGCTCCTTTCTCGGGGTGCTTTCTGCCACTTCCTTTAGTAGGATGGGCGATGGTTCCAATGGACGAGGTGTGCATGCTGAGTAGACGATTGTAGACCCGTCTCCGGTCAGATTCTGATAAGTTGCATGTGTGTGTGTGTGTGTTTATGCGTGGTGTGGACCGATTCTCTTGCCACACATGCACCACCTCCCCTTTGGAGGATTCCCAATACTGTGGGGAAGACTCACCAGTACTCAGTGCTTGGTAGTGGCTTTCCATTCGCTTTCTCCCTCCGATATCACTGTCTCACTATCCAAAGGAGCAGTGACCTCTTCAACCCTCGCAGTGATGTCAGACACCTTGGGATTTGCGAGTTTGATTCCCTTCAGCTTTCCGGATGCCAGTGTTTTGTGATCCTATAGCTACAACCTTTCCCTTTTCCTTCCGAGTGTGAGTGAGCCCTTTGGCCGGTTCTCTGTCTATAGCACCTCTATACGTAGAGGTGATGGGGTTGAATCACCAGGATACCTTTGCTATACGTAGTTCCATCTCAATAAAAATTGTATTGGTTGCTTGTAGCAGCTTGCTACTTTATTTCACTTTTGTAGGATCTCATGTAACTGTTTCATTTGGTCCTGCAATATGGTGTTCTGATCATCATGGATTAACAGGAAAAGAAAAGATTTCTGATGGGAGCCATACATATTCTAGCGTAGCTGTAAATTCACGTACTTGAGAGGGGAAATCAAACGCTGGAGTTGCGTCCCAAGAGCTCCCTCCGTTATGTTGGTGATCAATTCGTTATATGCAGTATCCACTAGCGGTCCGATGGTGGTGTGATTGTGATACTTGATATGGGATTCTGCCAACATGGAGAGATATTGGCCTGGAATCTGCAGATTGATTGGTTCAGTTGCGCTATAAGACTCTGAGAATAAGTTTGACTCCACAAAAGACTGTGCTATTGACGAGGCATCTTCATCAAGGACTTTCACCAGAAGTACACTAGTCCGTCCTGAAGGCTATCCATCATGTTACTAGAGTCGAACTTGATTACTTCGGAAGTAAGCTACAATCCTCCTCTCATAGCTTATCCTGGAAGCTAAGTACAACTCTTCGTTTGCAGGTGATGTCATGCATATCCCTTGGCGCTAATTTCAAGGAATTGGTACTGTGACCTGAATGTAAAATGTCATATTACACTTGCACGTCCGGTTAAAAGTTGGTTGCACGTTCGAAGGGAGTCCTTTTCCTTCCCGTGGTAAGCCATTGGTAAGCCATTGGAGCTAATGGGCTGGGCTTCTTTACTGTTGCTGCTGATATTTGCAAGCCCTTCCTCTAAACCGCGATTCTCGGGCTAGTGGTGCTACTGTGATAGTTTCCACGTGTGTTGGCCTTTTGCCCTTGACAATATGTTAGGGCTGCAAACGTTCGGAAGTAGGCGCGATGACTGTAGAAAGTGAACCTCCAGCGACAACTGGAAAATTGTGTCATCAGAGTTGCCCACCTTCACTCACCATCGGGCCACTTCTTTTGCCATTCGCCATTGTTGTAAGGCTGGGGAAGGAGTGAGCACATGCTGCAAAGAGAGTGGCAACGATGAGCATCAAAGTCGGTAAAGAAGCACAATCGTCTTGCATATCCCGTCTTTGGGTGTGCACAAATTCCCGACCTTGATCACAACGAGACACGGTCACACGGAAAAAGAGAAATGGGGTTTGGAGTTTGGGAAAGCTCCAGCCACCTCAGCTCACAAAATCTGGCCAAAAGCACATGAATGTCAGCTCACTGGAGCACTCAGCTGTGTCGCCTGCCTGCAGCAGTAGCAATATGGCCTCGGGCGACTTGAGAGCGAGCAGTTTGACGAGATCACTGTGGAAAATACTGCGATTATCGAGCTCAGCGTCAGACGGTCTGCGTGGAGGAACTTTTGCATCCTCTGCGGAGATAGTTTTCGGTCGCCCCCACCCTGAGGCTCGGCAGTCCCTGGTACAAGTCTCATTATGAAGCGCCCCAGATCCTCGAAGATTGTGGAGGAATGTTACTGGAGGATCCTCCCTCTCGGGGCGCTTACCACCAATTTTGCTGACTTACAATTATGATCAGGTACCTTTGGGGCCCTGGAACATGGAATGCAACAGACTCGAACAGACTTGCCAGCACGGCCTCGAGACGATCTGACAAGTGTCGACGAATTATGGACACTTTTTTCGCAATTTTCGTTAGCTCTCAGGTTCTCAGCTTTTAACCTTTCTATGACTACTCCAGTGTCCACTGACTCATGTGAGAGCTACGCAGCAACATACGCTTCGTATGTTGTCGGTCGAATGGCATCAAGCTCTTTCCAGTACATACAGCACTTCTGCATCCGTCGATGCCTTGCGTCCCCAGATTAACAGGGTTCAAAATAAGCCTGCCTGCCAGATCTTCGATTACACCTTCCCCTTTTGTTCGCCCAAGAGTCTGGCAAAGACGGCTCGACATTTGTGTCATAGGCTGGAGATGTTCACATCAAAGTTTCTGCTGGAAAACCTTTCGCTCACCCGGGTCTCACTTTACATGGAGATCTGATGTAAAGTCTTCGCTGCTGTATAGTCTTGGCTCCCACACTTGTCAAACTTTTGGCACCGATAACCGGTTGTGATTAAATCCTCAATTCTCAACTCTGTGTCTGAGATCTCTCGCCTGTCACAGATATCAATCTCTTTTCTACTGTTGTTTCTATGGGAATGAGTCTCTGGACATTGAAGATTAGATGTCGAATACTCTCGAAAATTCAATGCTGTGCCAGAAAAAATGATGGGCTTGTTTTGCATCCCGTTTTGTGAGGTAGTTGTAGTTTCATCCAGCCACTCCTTCATTTCCCACTCGTTCCGGTCACAATGTAAACCATGAAGACGAAAGACAACAAAGCCTCAGGAAACCCAGCCCGAGGGCAACGAGAGAAGACAAGAGAGGTTGCCTCTCAGGTGACAAATTGCTGTCCTTACAGAAAGTGCACCATCAAGAGGAGGCGTGACTCCTGGCGGGTTCCACAGGTCAAACGTCTTGCATCTCTACTAGCAGTGGCAGTGCCATAAATCCGTGAATAACCTCGAGGTAGAAGAAGTGAGGAAATCGGCAGGCTTTGAAATTTCCTCATGGTTTCCCTCTAGCTTAACTTGGAAGAATTCGTTCGTATCCTGCTATAAATGTACTGTGCCACATATGCGGGACACGCGGACGTTTACAGCCAAGTGACAGTTGCTTGAAGAGACGCCTTTCAATGGTAGAACACTTGTATACAAATTACATTTTGTGATATAGGATATACAAAATCTCAGAGTTTAACTTCTGAAGATTGGAGGATTTGCCGTGATGCAAATGATTACAATCGCCATAGCCAGTGTAGAGCACAATGTTTGAGAAGCCTCAAGGCTGCTGCTGCTGCTCCCCACTTCGTCGTTAGTCTTACAGTTAAAGCCACTGTGTCATTGAGCCAGAGCAAATGAAGGCTCATGTGCATGAGCCTTCATTTGCTCGGGCTCACTGCTCTAGAAGGCGTGCTACGTCTGCTCCAAACCATTTCGTCTACAGATCCAGATGTCACCTGGCCTGCAGCAGAATCACGCTACGAATTTGTAGACATCGTAAAATTCAAAACACCACACCACTTGAGTGAAGTGACCCTTGTCCTTTTACCATGATATGAATCGTCTGATGGAAACTGAGCAACTTTGTGCATCCGTCACAGAAAAGGGAGAGCAACAGTGACCCCATGAAATTACCGAATTCATCTTCCGTCTGAACATCGCGCGGAGCGAGGAGTGGATAACACACAGATAGACATCGATCGCGGAAAAGAAGCACAAGGGCTTTGCATATTCCATTCTGGGGTGCGAACATTTGGAAGTCCGCTCACAAGTGAACGTCGTCGAGGAAAACTTGTGCTTGGAGCCAGGGAAAAGTCCAAACAACTAAACTGAGCTCACCAAATCTCGCACATGAGTGTCAGTGAAGTACTCTCGTCTACAGCAGAATGAGTCGGGTTCGAGCAGGTTAGGAGTAATCGCAATGTTTCTTCACTTTTCTCCCCTTCCAATAAAAATAAAGAAAATTAGACAAAAGCAATGATAGACGACCAGCCACTGCGTTTGCAAACTTTTAACCCAGTGCACACATTATGGTAGGCACTCCACATCCACAGACTTGGCAGTCCTTTGTACTCTTCTGCTGCATCGCAAGAGATCGTCGAAGATTGTCGAGGATCGTTATTGGAGGACTGTCTCGACGAGGACTGCGAGCAAAATTTTGGTGACTTCCGGTTTCATGAGAGTCCATCTCGAGCACACACGACTGCAGACCTGCGTCGCAGTCTGACCCGACCTTTTGTCAAGAGCAGGCTGACATGGCCAGATAGGGTCTCTACGTCATCAGCCACTTTCGAGGGAGCTCTTGTCGCTAGCTTATCGCTCTTACAGCCCCGGCACTATCCATATTTCCAACCACATGAGACCTATGCAACATGCAAAAGATCTCATTGATTTAGGAATTTTTATTTTTTTTTACTTCTAGGGCGAGAGGATACGCAATAAGTGCTGCAGGGATAAGACAATAAAAAAATATTACAGATTATAAATAAATATTCCAACACAAAAAAATTTTAGATTTCAACTGGGACATGGTAACTATCTAGAACGACCGTGCCACGTACTATAGAAGTAAACTGTGAAACATCACTTAACTCAGTTTTTCTACTATGGATTGAAACTCAAAGTGATTGTTGTGATACTCGTTGCATTGATTACACTTATAAGGTAGAAAATCATTGAAATCTAATATGCCAGTCTCTTCTGTTTTGGAACTCTTCTTAAATAATTCTAAGGCTAGATCAATAATGTGTTCATATCTGTGCATATCCATATACTTACAATCTTGAGTATTTTTGATACACTTCCTATTTATGCAAGAATACATATAACGAGATTTACTAGTATTTACAAATTCATGGGGGTAGAGTGTTTACTTGATGGGAACCCATCAGACTCAAATTTCTTACAGGAATCCCACCGACGGTACACGTTACAGGAATCCCACCGACGGTACACGTTACGCATGTTCTAGTATCAACAGATGGTGCATGCAATGGATCTCAGTCGCAACGATTGCGACTCTCGAAAGCAACTTGATAACTTGGCAAAATTGAGCAGCTACCTTTTTTATTGCAGTCGGAGCAAAGCATTGCTCAAAATCTAGCCTTGTCCGATCGGCATTCATAACATGCACTCGTTGCATCCTTGCAGTATCGACAGATCTAGATCTATGAGGCTCACTAGACAATTTTTGCAACATCATGATACAAAATCTCATTCAATCAAAATCAGCATTGATTGATCATTATAAAATATTATGAAATCGACATCATGAGCATGGCATTGATGCTGAACGCGAAGAGTAGCTTTTGTTAGAAAATACGCTCCTTGAAGCATGACGTGGGAGCTTCCACATCTCTCTAGAAGTATATTGTAAACTCCGTTAGGTATTGACTAAGCAAGTCAAGATATCTCGGTACTTGGAACCAAGACTTAGGATCTGTATATAAGATACTTCTTGAAACAATAAAATCAAGCTCAAACAGAGAGAACATTGATTTTTGAACATGGTATTAGAGCGAAGGTGAGGACACTAGTATAGAAAAAATAGTAAGTTCTGCTCCTATTTTATGAGGCAAAGTTTTGTTGGGAACACTACTGTAGTACAAATAGTACAATCGTGACGAGTTTGTTGATGAAGAGAGTACATAGTCGGAAGCAATGTACCATGAAGATTTTTCAACTTTACGGGTTTATGAACAATATCAGAGAAGTTTTGTACCCACCAAACATAATCCGATGAAAGAAAAAGTTCCAAACTCCAAATACAAAGATTACTTATGAACGTTGTCAACACATGAAGATCCAATTACATTTAAATAGGCAGTGGCACATGTAGGTTGAAGAGCTGCAATGGAACAAGAAGTTGAATCAGTTAACAAGAACCAGACGTGGGAGATAGTTGACAAAATGCCTCTTAGAGTCACTCTAATTATTGCAAAGTGGATTTATAAAACCAAAGTTGGAGCATCAAGAGAATTTCTGAGGCTTAAAACCAGGGTAGTTGCTAGAGGTAACAAATAGTTAGAGGGTATAGACTTCTTTGATGCCTTTGCTCCGGTGGTAAAGTGATCCACCATACAATAGTACTATCATCAGCTGCAAACAAAAGATGGAAGATTCGTCAGCTTGATGTTAAAACAACCTTTTTAAATGGCACGCTAGATGAAGATGTATACATGTATGTACTGGATGATTTTGAGTAATTTCAAGAAAATAAAGTGTGTAAACTTTTGAAAGCTCTTTATGGCCTTAGACAAGCACCAAAGGCATGGTATGAGAGAATCAATATCTACTTAACACAACATGGAGTCAAAAAGAGCACACTTGATAGTAATATGTACTACACAGTGATTGATAATAAGTATGAATTATACTACTCTATGATGATGATCTGTTGATTGTTGGGGATAATCATGACGAACTCAATCGGATCGAAAGTATTCTTACAAGGGAATTTGATATGACAATCTTGGGTGATGGAAAGCTGTATTTAGGAGCAAAACTGGAGTAAACAGCTGATTTTTGAATAGCTTCATGAGGAGAAGTTGTGTCTTAACGAGGCCGAGATCGCGATCAATGCTTAACTTTGGTAGGCTCAAAAATCAGACACAGGTGTTGTCTAGTAAGTGGTGTTGTTCGATTCCTACCTTGATTTAGTAAGATCGGTCTAGTTTATTTTGATCGCCGCATACACTTTTTTTTGCCATTTTTTAGCCTATGGCTAAGGAAATAGTTCCGCGATAGCAAAAAAAATATAGATTTATGGCCTCTTCCCTCTGCTCTTACACGGATAGTGGTTGTCCTTCTCATCTATCAAAACTTCTTTTGATAAGTTCGTGGTATGAAACGAATCCTGCGATAGCAAGAAGTTCAGGCCGTCACTAAATTCACGATTTGCGATCACATGGATCCACTAAAACTCCCATCATATGTGTACAATGCACATTTTAGAACTTGGCAACGGTGTGATGTCAGTGAGATTCCATCCTTTTGGCCGATGTATACCATCAAGCAATATAGGTTGTGATGGGATCCCATCAAGTAAATAACTCCAAATTCTGACCTCGTTCTCCATCTTCAGCTTCAACACATTAGATTATATTCCAGCACATGCCTGGCACGTTCTCGAACGAAACAAAAAATCCGGAAAATTTGAAAACAGCCCCGGATTTCTAAGCATTTGGTACTAAGAGGCCCCGGGTGACAAAATGAACTAAAATCAATACTAAACTGATAGTATGAGATATATAAAATAACATATACCACATTCATGTTATACTTTCCAACTAATTATACACCAACCTTGAATCAAGTATGTTTCAAACTTCATTCGAATTGATTGCATAATCTACATAATGTCATTGCAGTTATGATGTTTGTTTATCAAATTTCAAATTTCCAATCCCGTCATGAATTGTTATATTTTTTTAAAACATGATCAAAATCACATGTAAATATCTAAATGCGTGACTATGGATCAATCAAGACAAAACTCAATTTTGTAGAGAAGTTGGTATAACAAAATGTAGATTTTTTCTCATATTTGAAGTAAAATTCACATTGTTGTAACAAGACATTTTTGAATTTAAGTGTATGAAAAATGAAAAAATTCATTAAAAATGTTATGGAGCGAAATATAATTAGTGATTTTTTTGAAATTCAATATCTCAAGGTAAGAATTGATATAGTTCTAAACAATTTCATCTAAAAGAATTTTTTTGTCAATTTCAACAATACATGTAGTAAAAAAAAATCAACTATCATTGTATAAATTTCTAAACAAATTCATTTAAAAAAATGTTCAAAAGATTATGTAACATGTTTGACATAATATTGTAGCAAATATAGATTACGAAAATTGCAACAAATATAGAAACATGCATCCTATTTTTAAAAAAAAAAATATAAGAAAATTGTATAAAATCACTTATTTCAATATCCAAATATCATGAACATTGAAGAAAAAAAATCATGTGTTATTAAATTTAATTTTTTAATTTTTTTTTAATTTTAGATTAAATTTATGTGATTTATATTACATGTATCATTAGCTATATATATAATATGTTCAGGAATTATATTGATGAGAACAATAGTAATAAAAAAATTAAGTTTAAGGTTTAAAAAATAAATAAAATTCATGGTACTATTTTATAATTTGATACGTATTTGAAATAAATTTCAATGAATCTAAAATACAAAAAGTCTAATT